AATTTTTTTATTAAAAAATGTTAAAAATTTGTTTGTTATGTTAGTATAAATATCCAATTAATCCTTAAATGAAAAACGTTAAAAGTTGATATCAGTAAATAAAAAAATTAAAAGTTAACATTTTTTAAAAAATAATTAAAAATATCAATTTTTATCTAAAAATTGATAACATTAATATTTTTAATTAAAAAAATATAAAATTTATATTCTTATTTGCACATTTTCTTTTTTGGTGTGGTTCACAGGTTTATTCCAATTATGTGTTTTAAAATCTTATAAATACTCTTCCAAGTATAAAATTGATAAAGCTTTGGAAGTTGATGGCAGTTCTCCTTTAAATATTTTTAAATATTAAAATAGAAAATTCATCAATAATAAAAAATTAAAAATTTTAATTTTTTAAATTTAGTTTTATTTTTTCTTTAAATTATTTTTACCTCGAAGATTTAACAGTAACTTCCCAAGATCCCCATCTCCACGTTGCATAATAGCAGCGCAAGACCATTAAAACTTGTATTTTGGGGGCCAAGATGGGCCTTCCTCGTCTTCACGTTGCACAATAGTAGCACAAGAATTGTCAAAGCTATAGGATTATGGTGGGGCAATAGATTTGTGAAGGGGGGAAATAAAATTAACCAACCCTAATGCGTGAGTGATTCACAACCCAGAACGCGTCTTGGCACTAATTAATTGAGTTGACTTAAGACCAAAAAGACTTCCAAGTCTTGGAAAAAAAACTAGCCATCTAGATTTTAAAAAGCAAAATGAGGATAAGCGTTTACTTGGAATTTCGTTTTTTCTAGAGTACAAGGCCAAGACTTTACTTACTCGGCCTCTTTTTTAAAAAACTAATTTGAGGGGTAATTGTCTTACCTATTTAATATTTATATGTGAGAGTATATATCTAAAAATTTTTAAACCAAATAATAAATATAATGTTTATTTTAAAATTTCATATATAGTGATCAACTTCGTATTTTTCATATTTAAAATTAAATTATTTTAGTAAAATACTATTAAAAAATTAAAAACATTTTAATCTTACTCTAAAAATGAAATATTTTAATTTTTTTAAAAAATATTTATTAAAGTGATATAATTTTAAAATTATTTTTTTAATTTCCAAAAGATAAGTTTGATAAACATTCTTCTTAAATTAATTTTCACTTTTACTTTATTTTTAAAATATTAATTCAACTTTTTCAATAAAATCTCTTTAATGACCGTACCACATGTTAGTCTGTCGTTGA